ATATATGGGTCTTGTTTTTGTATCCATTCAGCCAATCTATGTCTTTTGGTGGGAGCATTTAGTCCATTTACATTTAAGGTAAATATCGATCTGTATGTTCCTATTCCCATTTTCTAAATTGTTTTGTGTTCGTTATTATAGGTATTTTCCTTCTCTTGTGTTTTTTGCCTAGAGAAGTCCCTTTAGCATTTGTTGTAAAGCTGGTTTGGTGGTGCTGAACTCTCTCAGCCTTTGCTTGTCTGTAAAGGTTTTAATTTCTCCATCAAATCTGAATGAGATCCTTGCTGGGTAGAGTAATCTTGGTTGTAGGTTTTCCTCCTTCATCACTTTCAGTATGTCCTGCCACTCCCTTCTGGCTTGCAGAGTTTCTGCTGAGATATCAGCTGCTAACCTTATGGGGATTCCCTTGTGTGTTATTTGTTGTTTTTCCCTTGCTGCTTTTAATATGCTTTCTTTGTATTTAATTTTTGACAGTTTGATTAATATGTGTCTTGGCGTATTTCTCCTTGGATTTATCCTGTATGGGACTCTCTGTGCTTCCTGGACTTGATTAACTATTTCCTTTCCCATATTAGGGAAGTTTTCAACTATAATCTCTTCAAATATTTTCTCAGTCCCTTTCTTTTTCTCTTCTTCTTCTGGAACCCCTATAATTCAAATGTTGTTGTGTTTAATGTTGTCCCCGCAGTCTCTGAGACTGTTCTCAGTTCTTTTCATTCTTTTTTCTTTATTCTTCTCTGCAGTAGTTATTTCCATTATTTTATCTTCCAGGTCACTTATCCGTTCTTCTGCCTCAGTTATTCTGCTATTGATCCCATCTAGAGTATTTTTCATTTCATTTATTGTGTTGTTCATCATTGTTTGGTTCATCTTTAGTTCTTCTAGGTCCTTGTTAAATGTTTCCTGCATTTTGTCCATTCTATTTCCAAGATTTTGGATCATCTTTACTATCATTATTCTGAATTCTTTTTCAGGTAGACTGCATATTTCCTCTACATTTGTTAGGTCTGGTGCATTTTTATCTTGCTCCTTCATCTGCTGTGTGTTTTTCTGTCTTCTCATTTTGCTTATCTTACTGTGTTTGGGGTCTCCTTTTGCAGGCTGCAGGTTCATAGTTCCCGTTGTTTTTGATGTCTGTCTCCAGTGGCTAAGGTTGTTTCAGTGGGTTGTGTAGGCTTCCTGGTGGAGGGGACTAGTGCCTGTGTTCTGGTGGATGAGGCTGGATCTTGTCTCTCTAGTGGGCAGGTCCACATCTGGTGATGTGTTTTGGGGTGTCTGTGGACTTATTATGATTTTAGGCAGCCTCTCTGCTAATGGGTGGGGTTGTGTTCCTGATTTGCTAGTTGTTTGGCATAGGTTGTCCAGCACTGTAGCTTGCTGGCCATTGAGTTAAGCTGGGTGCTGGTGTTTAGATGGAGATCTCTGGGAGATTTTCGCCATTTGATATTATGTGGAGCTGGGAGGTCTCTTGTGGACCAGTGTCCTGAAGTTGGCTCTGCCACCTCAGAGGCACAGCACTGCCTCCTGGCTGGAGCACCAAGAGCCTTTCATCCACACGGCTCAGAATAAAAGGGAGAAAAAGCAGAGAGAAAGAATTAGTAGAAGTAGGAAGAAAGAAAGAAAGAAAGAAAGAAAGAAAGAAAGAAAGAAAGAAAGAAAGAAAGAAAGAAAGAAAGAAAGGAAGGAGGGAAGGAAGGAAGGAAGAAAGAAAGAAAGAAGAAAAGAAGGAAAGAAAGGAGGGAGGGAGGGAGGAAGGAAGGAAGGAGGGAAGGAAGGAAAAAAGAAAGAAGATACATTAAAATAAAATAAAGTACAATAAAGTTATTAAATTAAAAAATAATTATTTAGCAAAAAAAAAGGGACGGATAGAACCTTAGGACAAATGGTGGAAGCAAAGCTATACGGACTAAATCTCACACAGAAGCATATACATACACACTCACAAAAAGCGGAAAAGGGGAAAAAAGTCATAAATCTTGCTCTCAAAGTCCACCTCTTCAATTTGGGATGACTTGTTGTCTATTCATGTATTCCACAGATGCAGGGTACATCAAGTTGATTGTGGAGCTTTAATCCGCTGCTTCTGAGGCTGCTGGGAGAGATTTCCCTTTCTCTTCTTTGTTCTCCCAGTTCACAGGGGCTCAGGTTTGGATTTGGTCCCGCCTCTGTGGGTAGGTGGCTGGAGGGCGTCTGTTTTTTGCTCAGACAGGACAGGGTTAAAGGAGCCGCTGATTCGGAGGCTCTGGCACACTCAGGCCAGGGGGAGGGAGGGGCACGGCGTGCAGGGCGGGCCTGCGGCGGCAGAGGCCAGCATGACGTTGCACCAGCCTGAGGCCCGCCGTGCGTTCTCCCGGGGAAGTTGTCCCTGGATCCCGGGAACCTGGCAGTGGCGGGCTGCACAGGCTCCGCGGAAGAGGGGTGTGGATAGTGACCTGTGCTCGCACACAGGGCCCTTGGTGGCGGCAGCAGCAGCCTTAGTGTCTCCCGCCGGTCTCTGGAGTCCGCGCTTTTAGCCGCGGCTCGCGCCCGTCTCTGGGGTTCACACTTTTAGCCGCGGCTCGTGCCCGTCTCTAGAGTTCCTTTAAGCAGTGCTCTTAAACCCCTCTCCTTGCGCACCATGAAACAAAGAGGGAATTAAAAGTCTCTTGCCTCTTGGGCTGGTGAGTGCCGGTCGGTACCGATCCTCTGTGCGGGAATCTCCCCGCTTTGCCCTCCGCACCCCTGTTGCTGTGCACTCCTCCCCGGCTCCGAATCTCCCCCCTCCGCCTCCCGTAGTCTCCGCCCGCGAAGGGGCTTCCTAGTGTGTGGGAACTTTTCCTCCTTCACAGCTCCCTCCCACTGGTGCAGGTCCCGTCCCTATTCTTTGTCTCTGTTTTTTCTTTTCTTCTTTTGCCCTACCCAGGTACGTGGGGAGTTTCTTGCCTTTTGGGAGGTCTGAGGTCTTCTGCCAGCATTTAGTAGGTGTTCTGTAGGAGTTGCTCCACGTGTAGATGTATTTCTGGTGTATCTGTGGTGAGGAAGGTGATCTCCACATCTTACTCTTCCGCCATCTTCCCTTCCACCCCCTTGTTTCACTTTCTTTTCATTCATTTGCTCACTGAAATAGCAATTTTAATTTCCTTCAAGAATTTTTCCATTTAATTCACAAGTTGGCTAACTGTTGGCACAAGAGGCCTGTCTCAGCTTTCAACATGCCTTCCTCGCTAAGCTTAATTATTTCTAGTCTTTGATTTAAAGTGAGAGACATGTGCTCTCCTTTTCAGTTGAACATTTATGGCCATTGCAGAGTTATTAATTGGCCTGATTTCAATACTGTTGTTTCTCAGTAAATAGGGGATTCTGAGGAAAGGGAGAGTGATGGGGGAAGGCTGGTGAGTGAACTAGTAAGAACACACAAAACATTTATCAATGAAGTTCACCATCTTAAATGAGCACATTTCATGGCTCCCCAAAACCATTACAGCAGTAACACCAAAAATTGCTTATCACCATAACAAGTATAACAATAATGAAAAAGTTTGAAATACTGTGAGAATTACCAAAATGTGACCCAGAGGAATCAAATGAGCAAATGTTGTTAGAAAAATGCTGCTGATGGATTTGCTTGACACAGTGTTGCCACAAACTTTCAATTTGTGAAAAACACAATATCTGTGAAGCACAACAAAGCAAAGCACAATAAAACTATGTATGCCTAGGGGCTTCCCTGGTGGCGCAATGGTTGAGAGTCTGTCTGCCGATGCAGGGGACACGGGTTCCTGCCCCGGTCCGGGAAGATCCCACATGCCACAGATCCGCTGGGCCCGTGAACCATGGCCGCTGAGCCTGTGTGTCCGGCCGGAGCCTGTGTTCCACAACGGGAGAGGCCACAACAGTGAGAGGCCCACGTACCGCAAAAAAAAAAAAAAAAAAACAACTATGTATGCCTGTATATGATGAAGCAAATTTTGCAGAACCCTAGTTGTGCAGACTTTAGCTTTGTAGCCCCTGCAGTACAGGAGGAATACTAGAAGAGGCAGAAACATGCATCTCTAGCTTCCACAGGTGCTATATTTGCTTCTATATTAGGTATGTATCTTATAACAGTTGTTATTTTGAGAGAATCAAAATCATAGTTTTAATATTTTTGTATTTAATGTCTGTAAAGCTTGCTATTTTATGTATTTATAATGTTTAAAATTATATATTTGTAAAATTTATATATTTATAATATGGCCTGTAAGAATAATAGTATTTAATTTTAAGCTTGAAATGTGTGATTATTAATTTAGACATAATATTTTGTTGAAATATTAGTACATTTACTCAGATATTGAGCTATCTAAAGGAACTTTACATTCATTGTATTTATAATTTATTTATTAGATTTATAAGAATTATTTAATAATTTGTATAGGTTTTATATCATAATCAAAGAATAAAAATTTTATGAAGGAAATCAAATTTATAAAATATATAATTATGTTTTAAAATGGTGAAAATATTGTTTTAAAAACAGGTTAAAAAATATTGCTTAGGGGCTTCCCTGGTGGCACAGTGGTTGGGAGTCGGCCTGCCGATGCGGGGGGCACGGGTTCATGCCCCGGTCCAGGAGGATCCTGCATGCCATGGAGCGGCTGGGCCCGTGGGCCATGGCCACTGGGCCTGCGCGTCCGGAGCCTGTGCTCCACGACAGGAGAGGCCACGGCGGTGAGAGGGCCGCATGCCACAAAAAAGAAAAAAATATATATATATATATATATTGCTTAGGGCTTCCCTGGTGGTGCAGTGGTTAAGCATCTGCCTGCCAATGCAGAGGACATAGGTTTGAGCCCTGGTCTGGGAAGATCTCACATGTGCGGAGCAACTAACCCCATGCACCACAACTACTTAGCCTGCACTCTAGAACCTGCGAGCCACAACTACTGAAGCCCATGCACCTAGAGCTGGTGCTCCACAACAAAAGAAGCCACTGCAATGAGAAGCCCGCACACTGCAAAGGGAGAGTAGCCCCTGATCACCGCAACTAGAGAAAGCCCACGTGCAGTAACGAAGACTCAACGTAGCCAAAAATAAATAAATAAAATAAATAAATTTTTAAAAATATATTGCTCAGAGTATACGCAAAAGTGATTGCTATATTTGAAAAATATGAGATTTGTAAGCAAAATAGAAAAAGCTTAAGAAAGAACTAGGGATTTAAATGTAACCTTTCATAATTTGAAAACTAAATCCTAAAAATGAAAAATACTACCAAATATGTAAAGAAGAATGAATAACAATTCTTCACAAACTCTTCTAAAAATTAGAGAAATGAACACTCCCCAACTAGTTCAATGAAGACATTATTGCCCTGATAGCAAAACCAGACAATGATATACGATAAAAGAAGATTACCGATCTTTATCTCTATAAATACAGGATGCAAAAATCCTCAACAAAGTGCTAAAAAAGTGAATACAGAAATATATAAAAAGGATTATATATCATCACCCAGTGACATTAATTCTAGGAAAGCAAGGTTGGTTTAATATCTAAAATCAATCAATGTAACACAACATATCAATAGATAAAAAGACAAAAGATCATCACAATAGAAGTAGAAAAAATCTTTTTTGACCAAAGCAAACACCTGTTCATCACTCAACAAACTAAAAATGGAAGGAATTTCCTTCTTAAACCTCATAAAGGGCATTTATGAAAAACCCACAGGTAATTCCCTAAAAGCAGGAACAAGATAAGGATATCTGTTCTTCCCATTGCTATTCAACACCATACTGGAAATTCTAACCAGGACAGTTTGGCATCCAGAAAAATAAATAAAATGCATCCAGATTGGAAAGGAAGCAGTAAATTTATATCAATTTGCCAGTGACATTATCTGGCATAGAGAAAATTCTAAGAAATTCTTACCAAAAAAAAAAAAAACTATTAGAAAAAGTAAATTAGTTTAATGTAGTTGCAGAATAGAAGATCAATATTCAAAAATCAATTACCTTTCTATACATTAACAATGGAAAGTCTACAAAGGAAATTAAGAAAAAATTCAGTTTATATCAACAGTATAATCAAAAGAAAGAAAATGAGGAATTAAATAAATAAGTGCAATATGTACATTCTGAAAACTATAAAACATTGTTGAAATAAATTTTAAAAGACCTAAAGAAATGTAAATACATTTCACATTAATGGGTCAGAAGACTTAATAATAAAATGGCAATACTTCCCAAATGGACCTGCAAATTCAATACAACTTCTTTCAAAATCACAGATGCCTTTTTTATTGCAGAAATTAATAAGCTAATCCTAAAATTCCTACAGAAATATAAGGATCCAGAATAGCCAAAATAATCCTAAGAAGAACAAGGCTGTAGGACTCACACTTTCCAATTTCAAAACTTCCTATACAAAGCTACAATAATCAAGACAGTGTGGTACTGGCATAAGGATAGAGGATAAGGCATAAGGATTAACGGATTAGCACTGAAACTCCAGAAATAAAAAACTAATTTAATGGCCAATTGGTTTTCTGCAAAGGTGCTAAGACAATTCAACAAGGAAAGAATAGTCTTTTTAACAAATGGTGCTGGAACTACCACATATTCATATGAAAAAGAAAAAATGTAGAGTCCTTTTTAACATTGTACAAAAATTAACTCAAAATGGACCATAGAATATACAGGTAATAGTTAACATTGTGAAATTAGATAAAAACTTGGGTGTGAATCTTTGTGACCTTGGATTATGCAATGGTTTCATAAATAGGTATGACACCAAAAAGATGTGACCAAAAAAACCCTACATATATTAGATTTTTAAACTTTGTGCTACAAATTATATCAGAAAGAAAAAAAAAACCCACAGAATGAGAGAATATATTTATAAACCTTATATCTGTGAGGGACTTATAACCAGAACTATATAGAACATTTACAACTCAATAATTAAAAGAAAAATAATGGGAATTTTTAAATAGACAAAGAATTTAAATAGACGTTTCTCCAAAAAAGGAATACAAATTACCAATGAGCACATTGAAAGATGCTTAACATCATCATTTCTTAGTTTAATGTAAATCAAAACCACAACGAGATACTAACTGACACTCACTATACTCAGAAAGAAAAATAATAACATATGTTGAGAAAGATGTGGAGAAATTGGAACACTGATACATTGCTGATGGGAATGTAAAATGGTGCAAAGACAGTTTGGCAGTTCCTTAAAATGTTAAACATATCACTACCATGTGACCCAGCAATCCTAACCTAGATATATACCCAAGAGGAATTTAAGCACATCCACACATAAACCCCCACATAAATATTCATAGAAGCATTATTCATAATTGCTAAAAAGTGAAACAACCCAGGTGTCTATCAATTGATGAATGGATAAACAAAACATGGTATATCCATAAAAGGGAATATACTTAGTAATGAAAAAGAATGAAGAACTGATACTTGCTAACACATGAATGGAATTTGAAAATATTCTAAGTGAAAGAAGGCAATTACAAAAGACCACATATTTTAACATTGCATTTATATAGAATGTCCAGAGTAGGCAAATCCACAGAGATAGAAACTAGATTAGTGGTTGCTCAAGGTTGGGGAACAGGGGAGAGTAAGACAAGGAATGACTACTAATGGGTAAAGCATGGCTTTTGGGGGGTGATAAAAATGTGCTAAAATTGGATAGTGGAAAATATATTAAAAACTATTCAATTGTATACTTTTTTAAAATGGGAAAAAAGCAATCCAAATGAATAATCTTCTAAAAAGTACTTTCTGTTAACCAAAGGCAAAGTATACAAAAGCAACAAAATTTAGCACTTGTTCTCCACATTTATAAACTTTAGAATTCTTATTTTTGTATTAAAACTAATCATGTATTTCTTAAAATAGAAAATTTTCCTTTTTTTCCTAATACAATATTATATGGCAGTGTAAAAAAACTCTGAAAATATTCTATATGCTTTAAGAAATATAGTCCATATCTTAAACAATGGATTTTCAGTGAACACATGCTTTTAATTGTTTTCTTGAAAGTTGGAAAGATAAAACCTGGAAAGTATAAAATCCATTACAGGAAAGATTTTTTTAATTCAGCTTTGGCTTCTGCTTTTTTAATTTTTAAAAAAAAAAATTATTGGAGTATAGTTGATTTACAATGTTGTGTTAGTTTCAGGTGTACAGCAAAGTGAATCAGTTATACATACACATATATCCACTCTTTTTTTGTATTGTAGAGTATTTTCCCACATAGGCTATTACAGAGTACTGAGTACACTTCCCTGTGCTATGCAGCAAGTTCTTATTAGTTCTTATCTATTCTATATATAGTAGAGTATATATGTCAATCCCAATCTCCCAGTTTATCCCTTCCCCCAACCTTATCCCTGGGTAGCCATGTTTATTTTCTACATCTGTAACTCTACTTCTGTTTTGTAAATAAGTTCATTTAGGGATTAATCTCCAAAATATACAAACAGCTCATGATGCTCAATATCGAAAAAACAAATAACCCAATAAAAAATGGGTGGAAGATCTAAATAGCCATTTCTCCAAAGAAGACATACAGGACTCACCAAGACGGTGGAGGAGTAGGAGGATGTGGGGTTCATCTCTCTCCACAAATGCATGAAAAATACATCTACAGATGAAACAATTCTTGCAGAACACCAGCTAAACACTAGCAGAAGACCTTGGACAACAGAAAGGACAAGAAGGATCCCCATGTAACTGGGTAGGACAAAAGAAAGAAGGGAAAAAAAGAGTAGAGGAAGTGGGATGGGCTCTGCACCCCTGGGGGGGAGCTGAAGCAGAGGAGAGGCTCCCACATCTGGGGAGCCCCCTCACCGACAGGAAAGCAGTTGGAACAGAAGGGGAGCATCTGAGGTGGTTGGAGGAGGGTGAAACAGCCAGTCTGTGGCAGACAGGACAGAGTGAGATCTACACAGTCTGTGCCACAGCCCTGAGTGCCCCAGACTGAGACATGTGTCTGCCAGTGCACATGGGGGCTGAGAACTGGAACATGGGGATTGGAGAGCAAACCCAGGGGGAGGACTGCTGTTGGCTGCAAGGACACAGCCTGAGGGGATGGGAGGGAAGAAATTCGTAACCAGGAATGCTTGTGGAGGAAATCCAGATTGCCATAGAAGCAAGGCACCATTGTTGAGTGACGTGCAAGGGAGGAGCTGCCATTGCAGCCTCTCCCTCTAAACATCAGATCCCTGCCCAACCAAAGGCTAAGAAAAGCCCCTCCAGAGCTGACCTTCTCACACCTGCAACCAGGGCTAATAAAATTATCCTGCTCCAGGACTGATCTTCTTGTGCTGGCTACTAGGCACTTGGGCTGGATCTATCACACCTGTGGCTGACTTTCCCATGCACTTGTGGCCACCAGGGCCCCCACAACCCAGGCAGCCATGCCACCTCTGCACCCTGTCCTCACCAGGGCAGACCCGAGTGCTCTAGGGCAGCCTCAGCAGCAGACTCCTGTGGGTGGCTCACATGCAGAGGTGAGGCTAAAACCACAGCTGAACCCCTGGGGCAGGGCAACTGAGGAAGAGGAACAAAAGTATTCCCATGCAGCTGCACAAGCCACAGATTAAATCCCTGCAATCAGCTTGGTAAACCCTGCATCTGTGGAATATCTGAATGGACAGTTCCTACAAATGAAACTGGTCTAGCTCTAGCAGCTGTGGATTTTGGAGACTAGTACACACAGGAGTTGGGCCAGGTGAGAGTCTAAGCAACCCCCACAGTGACCACAGGGGAACCAGAGACAAACCTAGAGGCTTCAGAGGGCCTCTTGGGGAGGTGGAGGTTGGGGTCACTCATGGTGTGGGTAAGGACACTGACAGCTGAGACCCCAGAAAAATATAATTATTACTATTTTTTTATGTTTTGTTTTGTTCTGTTGTTTTATTATTGTTTTATTTTTATTTTCATTTAATTTTGTTATTTCTATTTCTAAGTTACTTTTTCTTTGTTCTGTGTTTTTTCCTATTTTCTTTTTTCTCTTTTCTTCCCTTTGTTCTATTTTG